AAAGAAGGTCAAAGAGACGACAATAAAACACTTTTAAGTGTGTGAGAACAGATCTGAGAAACCACAGTGATAACATATGTATAACAGCGTCAATGAAAAGTACACAGTACTGATTTAAACAAGATGTATTCAGTGGTAAATGCAGCCCAAGTTAGTTTATCTGTCCACACCTGATTTAAAAATATAATTCATCATGCATTCTTAAACAACATCTGTTACAGAAGTCTAAACAAAGTTAAGACGCATGCAGTGGATGTTTGGTTCAGAATTTGTGACCTTGTGCACGCTACCTAGAACAATACTACTGCCAGGCAGAGGGTGGCGCCAAACACAAAGATTACATGATTTGAACATCGTTTTTATTAAGAAATACATGGACAGGATCCTGCAGATTTTTGAATGTGAGAAATGTATCAGGAAATAGAAACTGTACTGAACTCATTTAGTCACAAAAGGTCAGTTTTATGTTCAATAGAACCAGAAATAACTCAGAACTACAGGGTAGGAAAAAAGGGGGAATATTTGAGGTTAATGAAAGTTACGTAACTGAAATAAATGAACTGAACTAAAATATCTTTTACCTTCCTAACTCACATAAGCAGGAACAATCACACAAATGGTAGAGCTGGATAAGTAGGGTTAGGATTAAGGGCTAGGCTGGATACGTTTTTTAATAATGAGATGGGATGATAAAATATAAGTGATATGAGTTCTGATGTAGTGCTGCCTTTTTACCAATTTACATCCAGCTGTTTCTGTTCCATGTTCATGACTAACTACCATTTACATGGATTTAAATACAGCAACCTATAACAGGATGTAAAGTTAGTAAACTGTTGCTTTCCTGTGGATTAGGGCAAGTAATGACAGCTTTAACAATACTACAAATAGGGACAGCCTACTAATTAGATGATTCAGTAAATAATTGCTTTATTTATTTTTGCAAATCTTTGTTTTTCAGATTCAGCAGCCTCTCTGACAGTGAGTCCTGAAGGAGAGAAACATTTCACTGATCATAACGTCTCATTAAAATGTGATGGAAACTCTACTGATGGGAGAATAAGATATTATAGAGAAATAAACACTCAGTCATATCTGTATGACTGCTCCACCTGGTGGACAATGAATGAATCCTCATGTATTTTCGACAGTCAGTCGACCTATAAAGCAGTGTTCTGGTGTGAGTCTGGGTCAGAGTTCAGCAATGCAGTCAACATCACGATATACAGTAGGTTATTATATATGAACATGTTTTGCTTTGTATTTGAATGATTCTAACAGTGACTGTAGTTCACAGAAACACATGTGAACACATGAAAAGTAGACTAGATGTTTTAAGTTTTTTTTATTTTTTATCGGACCAGATATGTTTAAAGTATCTCAACAGTTTTTGTCTTGGTTGAAAAATGCTGTTGGCCAAAAGCAAATATTGTGAGGAAGGTCATTACTGATAATATTTTCAACTTTTATTTCTATGAGATTGTGATCATACGTTACAGAAGCTGGAACATTTTTTTAATTATGAAAAACACTTCTCTGTCCTACAGAGTCAAAACCAGTCCTCACTGTGTCTCCATCATGGCTGAAACCTGAAGCCTCAGTGGCTCTGAGATGTAACTATGACAACCAGTCTGAAAGTTGGAGGATCTACTGGTATAAAGCTGTTCCTGATAAGTCTGAGAATGGCTACAGATATGAGCTACTGCCTGGTAGCATCAGTGAAACTGCAAATAACTCCTTTATGATTCACGGTCAGACACAAACAGCAGGATTTACATGTAGAGCTGGAAGAGGAAACCCAGAGTATTTTACTGATTACAGTGAACCAAAGTTTGTCTGGTCTGCAGGTCAGTGCTTTGTATTTTTAACTTTGACACACTGGTAATACCTAAAATAATCCCATGTGCAATGTGACAAATGTTCAGTTTAGTTTAAACTTGTTCCAAAAGAAGAACAAACTTAATGAAGCAAAAACTGTCTGAAGGACGCGAACAAATAAATAATTCCAAATAAAAACAACAAAAACTAATTCATCGACACTGCTTTTTTTCTCCAAATATGTATTTTTTTATTATGTTTTATTTAGTCTCCCATCCAGCAGCGTCTCTCTCAGTGAGTCCTGACAGAGAGCAACACTTCACCTCTGAGTCTGTGACTCTGAACTGTGGAGGAAACTCTACTGAGTGGAGAGTGATGACTCCTAGCAGAATTTATGCCTGGTCTTCACTATACAGCTACTCCGAGAAAGTAAATGGATTCACAACAGAAATGATAGCTTACCGGCACTCTACTGCAGTGTACTGGTGTGAGTCTGAATCAGAGGGGTGCAGCAATGCAGTTAACATCACAATACATGGTTTGTTTTCTTTATTTCTTGTTTTGATTTAATATAAATTGTAATATTTCCTCACTTGTTCATAGTCCTAACTTAGAAATGTTGTAATTGAGTAAAAGAAGAAATTTGCATCTTGAAATTTTAGATAATTAAAAAATAGATGACACTGTACATTATAAATTATCAAATATTCTCAATAGTTTTTAATACAATGATCTCCGTCTTACATAAAGGTCTGCTATTTTCCAGATGGTGATTTAATCCTGGTGAGTCCTGTACATCCCGTTAATGAGGGAGATCCTGTCACTCTTGGCTGCGAACTGAGGACAGGGAACTTCACGTCCACTGTGGGATTCTACAAAAATGATAAACTTATCCAGAACACAGTCAGAGGAGAGCTGAGTATCCCTGCAGCGTCGGCTTCAGACGAAGGTTTCTACAGGTGTGAACATTCAGGAAAGGCGTCTCCACAGAGCTGGGTGGCAGTGAAAGGTGGGTTTTATGAATGTACTTTAAATGTTTTTCATCGCCTTCCACTTTGACATTGAATAAAAATGTGTAACTCTAATTTGTGCCTCCGTTTTGTTTCTTAGCTGTTTCTGCTTTGCCTGTAGCTTTAACTTTAATTTTACTGCAAAGACTTTTACAGGAGAACCAAAAACAGGCAGCAATAAGACAAAGCTGCTTGTCTGATTATAATATGAAAGAAGCTCACGCTTTTATATGCATGTGAACTCTTTTTTTCTTTTTGCCATCTAAAAATCATGTTCTCTTTGAAACATATTCTTTATTTTCTTGACAGCATCAAGTTCTTCTCTTCCGGAGTCGCTGATTATTGGACTAGTTGTTGGTTTCCTGCTGACTGTCCTCCTCGTCATTGTGTTGGGTCGGTACATTACAAATGTTTTCTGCCTGTTCTTGAATGTCAACACAGTCATTATCTTACTTGTTCTGTATGAAGTTATGTATTTTTTTGTCCACAATCTCTTTATGTGGTATATTAACTTTCAGTCTCTTCTGCAGCAATTTTACGCAACAGGTAAGCAAACCTTTCTTTCGTTTTTGCATTTTACTACAGAGTAATGCTGGAAAGATCTTTAAGTTTGAAAAATGTATAAGCAAAATGACTGTTTTCCTAAATTAAATGTGTAAATATATATATTTATATATTTCAGGCTTTCTAAGTGTCACAGAACCGAGACCTCAGGCACAGCTCCTCATCAACAGGATGAAACGCCAAACCAGATATACTCGTCTCTCCTTCAAGGGCAGTCCTCACTAAAGTTTCAATAATTATTAACAATCCACTGCTGCTTTCGCTGTAATAATAATGTCTTTATATATTCATGTGCGTCCATTCATTTCTTCAGTACAACCCTAAACTCAGCTCACAGTTTAGTCCTAAACCGAACCCCTAACCCAAAACCAGCATCTGATATGTGGCCCGTGCTTTCAGCCCCATAATCAGCAGAGGGTCCTCACAATGTAGTATTTATTGGATAAATGGGTCTTATGCTAAATAAATGCTAAAACACACTAATGAATATATATGCATAACACATGTATCCAACATAATAATCATGCTGGAGCCATTTAGAGGCTAAATTAGAGACATTGTGGTTTGTCACTGTCTTCATTTCCACCCTGTAGGTGATTCTGCCGTTTATGAGACAATCAGAAAATCCGGTCAATGGTAGGAGTATAAACTGATTCATAAAGGATGACTGTGTATTTAAAATAAATGACTTTTAGTAAAATAAAAATGTAATCCTTTCAGATCAAAGAGTGAATGAGGACAAGAAAGTCAAACCTCGCATCCTGCTCAAAATGAAAGGTAAGTTCACTGAATGTGGGACGTTAGAACCAGAGCTGACTACTACAGGTTCTGTAATAATAATAATAATAATAATAATAATAATAATAATAATAATAATAATAATAATAATAATAATAATAATATCATTAGGATGTGGAAAATAAATCTGACTACACTGATGTGAATTTAGACTTAGCGAGTGAAGTTTTCCTGTTTATTCTTATTAAATATTCTGGTGGAGTTTAAAGGATCCTGTTGTATTATTTTAGCCTTCAGGTCACTTTGGCCCTTGGTCATTCTGTACACTTGTCTTCTCTCCATATCTCGGTTGCATACTTGTAAACAAACCATCAGGATTATGACAGCATAGTATTAAAGTTTTATTCTTAAACCTTCCACACTTCATATCATTTATTGTTCCTTTTTTTGTTTCAGATCCATAAAGTTTGCCATCTGAAGTAAGAAATGGAACAGAGGAGAGTTTTCCTAACTAAGATGTTAATTAAAATCATTGTGATTTTGTTGTACTGTTGCAGCACTCTGATGAACCAGCCGAACAAATGCATGCGTTTTCAGTTAACTATTACATATTCATGAATGTTATGCTTATCTTGATGGTGCTGGATTATTATAATCTCAAAATGTCACTATAAAAAATGGAGCAGGTGAATGAATTTTAAGTATGAGCTTCCATGCTAGGTATTTTTTTATTTCTTTTTATTGTATTTTCCTTTTATATTTCAATAGCGTTTTATGAAAATACCCTATATGTGATTTCCACTGTTTTGTTTGGCCGTTTTTAGTATCTCCTCCAGCTGGACGTTTGTGGTGTAAAAACATGTATTGTCTTCATAATAAAGTTAAAAGGTTTTTTTTTTTTGCTTTTCATAAAGCACTGTGGGTTGTATCTGTTTTCAAAACGTTCACATCCGACAAGACATTAAAAGTACGGTACGCACATTAACACAAATCAGTGAAATCAGGTGATCTGTATTTTTGCACAAGAATATATTAAATAGCAAGAATGACAAAGCACCAAAGAAGAACATATCTTAGGTACATGACCAACACCTGTTTCAATCTAAAACAGTTTGTATCTTTAGTATTATTCCTTTTATTCATTTTTTTGTTTTTTAAGAATAAATTAAATTGATCTGTTGCATTATTTTCCATTCAATGAAGCCATGGACTCTCTCTGTCTGCCTTCATGGCTCCAGTCATCCATCAGCTCATCTGAGACACAATTACTGACTCCCTCGTCACTGACATCAGAAATCCAGAGGGCGGTTTTAGTGCAGCACCAACCAGATGAAATGATTTTAAGCCTCAGCTCTCTCCTGGATCCAGCTCTGTTCATCCTGGTTGGTGATGGTCAGCAGGTTATTGTGGAGGTTATTAAAATGAGGCATTCTCCCAGTTAATCTGCTCCTTGATCAGCATCGCTATCTGTTGAAGAGAGAATAAATACGTGCTGCTTTGCTGGAGTCATGACCTCATCTTCGATTTTAGTCACTTAATACGCATCAGCTAATCAGCCGTGGCAGCAAGAGTCCCACAAACGCTTTAGACTGAACAAGTTGCAAGATAATAACCAGACCCATCAGTTTCTGTGACTTCTCAGTAATGTCACAGTTTCAAACCCTCAATCTTTTCTCACAATGCTGCATTTAAAAGGGATGTTGCTTCTGTGGTCTTTAGAAAAAAACATCAAGACAATACCAGACAAAAATATAGCTTAGACCAGGGGTCCTCAAACTTTTTCCTGCGAGGGCCACATAACTGTTCCCTTTTCTGGTCAGGGGCCAGTCTTAGTTTTTCGAGAAAGAAACCTTAGAAAACTTTTGTTGACGATGGGGGGGGGGGGGGAGGTGTAAAGTCTTGTGGTTTTACCTATACTCTGAGTGAAAAAACAGAAGCAAAAAA